TGGGATCTCATGAGGTGCAGGATAAAAAGCCTCATCCATTGCACATCTCTCTTACAGTTTCTGGTGTACTTCTTTTACTTCACTCTTCTTACTGTCGTCTACTTTGCCTGCGCTGCTGTGGTCATCTGCCGTCACTACCGAAACGAGCGGAGGGGAGGAGTAACCAGGGACCAGCCCACGCCCACGGAGCTCAGCCCTGTGGTGACAAACAAGGAGCTAGAACCTTTGTCTAATGGCAAACGTGCCTAACTCTAAACACAAGGAGAAACATGTCGTTCCATAACATTGTTAGACCAGTTTTACTAATAAGCTCGTGAGAGTCACTGAGATCAGTGTTTTAGCCCCTTCACACACTCAGGTGGGTTCAGTGATGCCTCTGAGCCTCAATCAGAAGTGCCTCGTGTGCAGCGACTCCAAGAGTGCAGCAGCTTGTCTGATGTCTGAGGAGAGATTTTCTAGAGTAATTTACTTTAAAAAAAAAAGTCACTTTGGTGTTTTTAGACATTGCTAAAGCAGCCTGGGACCTTTAATGTCACAACCAAGATTTCTTAGAAAACACGAAACAACCGTGTGATATATGCTGGAGTGATTCTTTTCTATATTCAAGGCTCACGAGACATGACCACACTTGTTTTTAATAAAACACTCCTATTGTACTTTGTTACAATTACTGTGTTAGTGGCATTTTTAAAGAACATATGAGTATGAATATACCTTAGTTATTGATGATGATTATCACAGTCTGACATCAGTGTTGTGGGATCAGTGAGATCTTCTTCACTGCTGATAATTTCAAGCAGCAAACTGCAGATTTATGCAGTGTGCTCTGCTCAATGCAATGTTGTCTGCTGTCTGTTTGTATTGCAGGAGCAGCGCCACAGACGATTGCAATAATCTTCATTTGATACAATGATTTCTTTTTCTTTTTTTTAGGACTAATTAACATTTCTATACATCTTTACAGAAAATTCAAACCTGTTCTCAAATTTCAGTACCTCAGTCAACTGGAGCTGCTCGTGAGTTTGTCGATAAGTTCAGTAAACAACAAACCAAGTGAAATTTGTAAAACCTGATTTTATTTATTTTTGGTCAATAAATGGCTGTTTTTCTTTCTTTTTCTTGTGTTTAACATTTAAACATGCTGGGTCAGTGCTGTAGAGCAGCGGTTCTCAAAGCTGGGTCTGTGATTCTTTGGAAAAGCAACATGTCAAGCTTTTTACTTCCACACTTAGTAACTTTGGCTCAGTAGAAGAGCATGTTACATATCAGAAGATTTAAACATTAATAGAAAACTTAATGAGGGGATTCCTTGGAAAGGCTCTCCCCTCTAAAGGGCCACTGACCCCAGAGAACCGGAGAACACTCGAGCCAACAGGAAGTTCAGCGGATATGTTAAGTAGGTTTTAAAATGACTTTGCTTGATCACTTAAACAGAAGATTGAGTTCTTTCTTACAGCAGATGCAATGGTAGTTTGTGTTTACTGCATTGAGTATTCAGTGATACATTTACTGTATAGATTTGTTCTCTAGTTCAGTGTTAAGTGCATTTTCACTTGTTGTAAAATCAGGAATATCTGCACTGCCATTGTGTCGTTTTAGTATTTGAAGGGTTAAACTGCAGTAGGTAACATGATGCAGAGTTTTGTGATTGAAATCATTGCTGAAAAATGACTAAACGTGTCTGAGTGCTGTAACGAGGAAATGAGATGTTTATTTTTTATTCACAAATAAATTACTGAGTGGATAAAAACATGCTGCCTCTGTCTTTTTTTTTGAGTGCAGTAAACCACATTTACAATTTGATACCATGTGATGGAGCTTTAGTGTCGTTATAGTTAATTATTGGACATAAATGCGTGACTGTAATGGAGAGTCGGGTGTTACAGTGGGGTCAGTAACCTTTACTATGATGAGACACTCATCAATTTAACCCGTCCTAGTCAACAGTTATTTTTTGTATGTAGTTTACTTGCATTTATACACTAAGCTGGTGATTTACAATAGGCACAACTGATAAGAGATTTTTAGGACCAATAGCAATAGTTGGTGATGCAGAAACCTGATACATTGGTCGATATTTTTAATGTTTTTTTTT